ACCCGCATGCATCCACCAGCTTTTTTTGCTATGTGGGGTTTGAACTCTACCAACTTTGAACTCGTGTGGGCATAAGCAGGAGCTAAGAAAAATATATTTGACATATTAAGCTCTAAACAAAAAAAAAAAACAAAAAAAAAAACAAAAGTTCGCCAGAAATATTTCAAACAGATTTTTCAGCGGAATTATTCTATGAGTACAATTTCTAGCATAATATTTTGCGCCAAAAATTAAAAAGAAAAAATAAAACCTAGAAAAAAGAAGAAACATGATCGGCCAACCAGCAGCCTGAGAAAACCCAAGGGCTACACTATATCGACCAGCCCAACTAGCCCGCTAGTCCTTCCCATGCGAGCAATTCCTTGGGCCCTCCGACCCAATCTACCACCCACCTTAGGCGGGATTCGAACCTACGCAGCCCATCATTAAATCATTAAAGCCTCCAAACCAAGGCGCCTCTATGCCATGAGAGATTATTAGGTGCGAAGTGCAGACAGGGAGAACCTTCTGCACAAGCATTGGGTACCTAGTGGTACCCACACTCGGTACCGCTGGGTACTTCTAGGTACCTAATGCTTGTGCGGACGGTGCGCACTCCGCACCTAATAATTTTTCCTATGGCACATATGTGTAGTTTGGTTTATTTTATCTTATTTAAACTAAAATCTAATATCAATTTAATCAATGTAATTTAATTTAAAAAATTTATTTTTATAATGATTTATTTAATTTAACAATTAATTATTAATTTAATTTAACAATTAATTATTAATTTGATTTATTTAATTAATTTTCTTTAATAATATTTAATTTTATTCATTTCATAATGAATTATCAATTATTATTTAATTAATTCAAATTTCGTAATATCTAATTTGAAAATTTTAATTTGATTATAAGTTATTAAATTATTTAACTTAATTTAATAAAATAATTAATTATAAATATTTATTGTAGCCATTTTGTAGAAAAAAATTAATTTTCGTCAGAATTCCGTCGGAAATAAATCTGCCTGAAATCCAATATGAAATTCAGTCAGAAATCCGCTTGAATTTTTCCATCAGTAATCCGCCGAAAAAGCCGCTGGAATTTGTTATGAATTTATTTCCGCCAGAAATTTCATTGGGAATGAGCTGTTTTTTTGTAGTGAACCCACCCGCTAGACAAACTGCCTAAGCTACGTTGATTAAAATGTTTTTTCGTTGCTTTTTTTAATTTAAATTATACTTTCTAAGAAATATTTTTAATATATAATTTCTTCATATTATTTAATTTATTTAATAATATCTATTAGAGAACCTAATTAATTTATTTTATTTATTAAAAATAATTTAATAATAATTATTAATTTATTATTATTATTTTAGTTTAATAATATTTAATTAAATTAATTTAATTTAAAAAATGAGCAATTTTTAATATTTATAATATTTTTTTTTAGAAAATTTTAAATTCCACTAGAAAATGCGCCAAAAATTTGCCGGAACATTCCTTGGAAATATTTCATTGGAAATCCGTCGGAAATATTCCATTGGAAATCTGCCAAAATTCCTTGATGAATTTATTTCTGCTGGAAATTACGTCGGAAATTAGCATATGATTTTATAGTGTTATTAGATAGATATGGCATAGGCTACTGGAAGAATGGGTGATGATCCTACTTTTAATAAGGAATCCTTTTCTGTGATTGAAGTGATATTGTTTTATTTTTATAGTTAAATAATAAATCATCCTTAGATTGAAAAGAAATGGTAATCCAATTATCCACTTATATTAATATGAGTTAATGCACCTATTAGATTACTCATTTATTAATTCACCCTATTATATTACCTTACATCTACAAAAGTAATATTGATTTTTCACTTGTTTTACTTGCTTACTAACATACTTGCATTAAAATAATACTTAATATAATTATAAGAAATAATGCATATATATGAAAACTTGAGACATGATCTGTTAATTCACTAGTAAGGCCCCAAGCATGCATATTGGATCTTTATCATGCATTAGATTCTTGGGTAGATTTCATAAAACCTATTGAGTTTATTGCTCACCCCATTGCACATGCATTTGTTGTTTGTTTTAAAGAAGGCTTGTTCTTTTTATGGAAGGGCATCACCATTTCAATACACATAATTTTAATAAATCAACTAAAATTTAAATAATACTTTTATACTATATCTATTTAAATCGATAAATGAAACAATTCATTAAAGTTAAGTATAGTCCCCAAACCTTCATTAATGTCTGACGTAGAAGCCTCGGTACCTGCAAGAGAAAAGAGCAAAACACAAGAAGAAAACTAGAGAAACCAAAGAGCAGAGCTCCAAATGAGAGTAATATCGGTATTAGTATTCAATCTCCCTTCTCCTCCCAGCTAATAACAAAATATACCTCCTAAAAGAGCCGTATGACTAAAAACGAAAAAACAAGAAAAAGGAGAAATGACTGTACTATAGCCTTTAGTTAGTTAAAACTGCTGCAGAAATAGGATAGTGGGAGTATAACCAAAACCATGTGGGTAGTAGAATGATCTTGCGGAAAAGGTCTCAGCTAATGTGAGCCCGCATCAGTTGCCTCCTCCTCTAAAGAACTCCGCTTCCTGTGGAGTATTAGTTAGTTCAGTAGTAGCTTCATCAGATGGAAAGTAGGGGAAGACATCCTCGATGTTGAAGGTAGAGGGCGTGAGAATGTCAGGTGGTAGATCAACGACATATGCATTGTCGTTAATCTGCTGCTTGATAGAAAATGGTCCAATCTTTCGTGGACTAAGTTTCGAATAAGTCCCCGCAGGAAAATTTTCCCTCCGCAAACGTACAATTACAAGTTCTCTAGGTTCAAATAGCTTTCGGCGCCTGTGTTGATCAGCATCCAACTTGTAAGCTTCATTGGACCGTTGTAATCTGTGGCGAACATCATCAAGCACGAATTTAAAATCCTCAGCAAATTTACCTACAGCAGAATTATGACATTGAGGGAGGATGGCCAGATTCACAGTATGATTCGGCATCTTGGTATAGACTATGCTGAACGTGAACATTCCAGTTGATCTATTTGGCATTGAATTATAAGAAAATTCATCTTGACTTAAGACCTCGTCCCATTGTTTCGGATGGTCTTGAACCAAACACCTAAGTATGCTGCCGAGAGTCCAACTAACCACCTCTGTCTGACCGTCGGTTTGAGGATGATAAGCTGAGCTGAGTTAGATCTCCGTCTTGAGTTGCTTCCATAGTTCACGCCAGAAGTGACTAATGAACTTCACATCACGATCAGAGGTTATGCTCCGGGGGAGGCCATGGAGCCGGACTATCTCTCGAAAAAACAACCGAGCAACCCCAAAAGCGTCGCAAGTCTTCCTGCAAGCTTTTTTTGTACGAGGTAGCCCCAATATGAAGTCCATACTCAAATCCTCCCAAATAGACATAGGCACGAGTAGAGGGGTATATAAGCCGGCATTCTGTCGAGCACCTTTGTACGCCTGGCATACAAGACACCTCTCAACGAACCGAGAGATATCTCGCCACAAGTGAGGCCAGTAAAAACATTATTGCATTTGATCCACTGTCTTTTCCCTTCCCAGATGAGCCGCCAATCCTCCTCCATACACTTCTTGTATTAATTGCAACCTGAACGAAGATAAGGGAATACATAAAGAGTTACCTTTGAACAAGTAGCCATGGCGGATCAAATAGTCTCCCCAAGACCTACTGATAGAGCAAATTTCCCATGCTTTAGCAAAGTCTGGATCTTGTGGATACATGTCTTTATGTGACTCTAAGCCTGTGAGTTCGGTTTGCAGCTTGGTGATCAATGCCGACCGCCGGCTTAGTGCATCGGCCACCATATTTTGACTGCCCGATTTGTGCTTTAGAACAAAGCTAAATTTTTGTAAGAATATTATCCACCGCCCATGCATTCGATTAATATTCTTTTGGTATTCAAATATTATTACGATTGGTGATCACTACATAAGATAAAGTCTTGGTGAAGTATGTAATTCTCCCATTGTTTCAAAGCTCAAACAACTGTATACAGTTCCTGTTCGTAAGTGACCACTTTTTCCATGCTAGACTCAATTTTTCGCTGAAGAACTCTATCGGCTTGTTGTCTTGAGACAATATAGCTCCGACACCAATTCTCGAAGCATCGGTGTCCACATTGAAAGGCTTACTAAAATCTGGTAATGCCAACACAGGTGCTGAACTCAAGGCAGCCTTAATCGTTTCGAAACTATTTTGTTGTTCTGTAGTCCACATAAAAGTTTGTCGTTTTAGACAATCCGTGATCGGTGCCATAATCACGCTGAATCCACGAATAAATCGTCTGTAAAAATTAGCTAACCCATGGAAACTACGAACTTCAGTAATAGTGTTCGATCTTGGCCAGTCACGGACAGTGTCTACTTTGTAGGGATCCATGCTCACACCTTGTGCAGAAATTATAAAACCCAAAAAGTGTACTGTAGACGTGAAAAATTCACATTTAGTCTTATTCAAGTACAGCTTGTGTTCCCTTAACAATTGAAAAACGTCAGCCAAATGTTTCCAGTGGGATTCGGTTGAAGGGCTAAAAACTAAAATGTCGTCGAAGTATACGACACAACACTTGCCAATCAGTGGTTTTAAAATTTCGTTCATCAAATGCATAAATGTGGATGGTGCATTACACAAACGAAATGGCATTACCTTCCACTCAAAGAGACCGTCTCTGGTCTTAAAAGCAGTCTTCCATTCGTCGCCTGGCCGGATTCGTATCTGGTGATAACCGCTACGGAGATCTAATTTGGAGAATACTGTAGCACCAGTCAAGTGATCTAGCATGTCCTCAATCCTCGGCACCGGAAAGCGATACTTAATGGTTAACTTATTAATTGATCGACTATCAATGCAGATTCGCCACGATCCATCTTTCTTCGACACCAACAAGGCGGGCACGACACAGGGGCTCAAACTAGGCTGAATCATTTGCCTCTGAATTAGCTCGTCAATTAACTATTGCATTGCTTTATGTTCTGTTGGGCTCATTTTATAATGCAAAAAATTGGGTAGAGAAGCTCCCGGAACCAAATCGATTTGATTTTGTATGGTCCTCAGTGGTGGCAATTCCTGGGGAAGTTCGGTTGGAGCTATGCCATCAAATTCGGTCAGCAGTTGTTGCAGGGATGTTGGATGCGAAGTGGTTTGGAGTCTTGAATTCTCCTCAGCTACAAAAACAGCCAGGATTCCCTTAGCTTCATGCCCAAAATGGATAAGGAATTTTCCTGTAACTATATTCAAAGCTAGCCGAGTCCCTGAGACAGAAGATGGTGTGCTGTGAGAATTTGGAAGTAGCCGCAACTTCCTGTTCTTCCACTCGAAGGAATAAGAATTAGTGCGCCCGTCATATAGAACACCAGTGTCGAACTGCCAAGGTTGCCCTAGAATAAGGTGGCACACATCCATGTCAATGTTGTCACATAACACTTCGCAATTGTAGTGTTTTCCATTGGAAAAATTGACTATGCACATCTCCGATACAGGAACTTCCACACCACGCTTCACCCAAATGATCTTATATGGTGTGGGATTTTTCGTTGTCTTTAGCTTCAATGAATTAACAGCAGACTGCGAGATGATGTTCTCGGTGCACCCGCTATCGATCAGTAGATCACACACTTTACCACTAATCGTGCATTTTGTCTTGAATATGGCATTTCTCTTTGTAGGAGACATCTGACGTGGAGATAGTAGCAATTTTTCTAGGATGCACATCACTGGCTCACCTTCAACTTCTTCATAATCTTCTTAAGCTTCTCCATCAGCTCCAGTGGGTTGGGTCTCGGTTTCGCCTTCCAACAGTTGGACTTGTTGACGATTTGGACACTCGTTGGACTTGTGACCGGGTTGAAAGCACCGGAAACACTTCAAGGTAGTTGGCCGAGTATACGGATTGTCTTTGCTGGGAGCTTTTGCTTTGTTGGGAGCTTTGTTCTAAAAGGTTTGTGTAGCCGGTCCAGGAGGAGTATGGCTTTTATAGGCAGGTTTTGCAATAGTATTACTGGAACTCTTGCCATCAAGTAAGGGATTATCAGAGAAGTTCCGCCTGTTGTTATATGCCCTCAATGGACGATTCAACTGCATTTCAGCCTTCAAGGCGAAATTCACTGCCTGCAACAATGACCATATGCATGGAATTCAATTCCAATTTATCCTGGATGCCATCTTTTAAACCACCAATGTATCGAGCAACAATCTGATTGTTAGACTCATTAAGATTATTACGGGCGCTGAGGAGATAGAATTCTTCAGTGTAGGAGCTAACAATTCGATTTCCCTGATTGCAGTGTTGGTATTGAATGTATAATAATTGCTCAAAATCAGTGAGTAGGAATTGATTACGAAGCAGTTGTTTCATTCGAGACCAATTCCTATCAGGTCCCTTTCCTTCTCTATACCGTGTCTGTAGAACTTGTTTCCACCAAGCGCTTGCTCCCCCTTCAAATTTGTAGGCCACGTACTTCACCTGCTTATCCGTCGGGATATCCATGTATTCAAAAAATGTTTCGACCGACCGCTCCCAATCAAGATAATCCTCGATATGCAAGCGTCCTTCAAAAAATTTTATATCCATCTTCACTCGGTATTCACCATGTGGTTGCTGTCTGTGTTGCATTCCCATTCTTCTAGGTCTCTCCACATGAAAATATCCTTCATCGGGAGAGTTAGACAAATACGGTTGCTGCTGGCTTTCACCTTCAACATCGGACGCAGTGATGTCAATACCATATGCACGTGCTTCTGGGCGGAATCTACCCATCGGACGCTCTCTCGGACGCCATTGCCGTCGGTCCGGTGACGTCTCACGATTCGCTGGTTGATTCCTCGAGCCTAACTTGAGGCTTTGAATTTCAAGACGCATCTCTGTGGTAAATCGGCAAAAATCTGCCTTGAGCTCGTCCAGTTGCCTGAAAATCCTGGATTGTGCCGCCCACATTGCGTTCTCGCCTTGATCGCCGTCAAGGGCGTTGTGTCTGCTACTCTCCGCCATCTCCGCAGCTTCGCCGACCTGGCTATGATACCAACTTGACGTGGAAGCCTCGTTACTTGCAAGAGAAAAGAGCAGAACACAAGAAGAAAACTAGAGAAACCAAAGAGCAGAGCTCCAAACTAGAGTAATATCGGTAGTAGTATTCAATCTCCCTTCTCCTCCCAGCTAATAACAAAATATACCTCCTAAAAGAGGCGTATCACTAAAAACGGAAAAAAAAAGAAAAAGGTGAAACGACTGTACTATAGCCTTTAGTTAGTCAAAACTGTTGCAGAAATAGGATAGTGGGAGTATAACCAAAACCATGTGGGTAGTAGAATGATCTTGCGGAAAAGGTCTCAGCTAACGTGAGCCCACATCAATGTCTATCCATGATATATGTGTGAATACATTGTCTATAATTCGAAGATTACCTGATGAATGCAATATAACCTAACTATCTAGTTTACATAAAAAAAAACAAATGGTCAGAGAAAAATTTATAAGTTCAAATAACATATATTATGATGTTTGTGTTTTTAATCTTTGTATTTTTTAACAAGAAATAAGTAGAAAATTATAAAAATTTAGCCAACAACGCAACACCACAGAGATAGCGCCGCAGAGCCATATTTTCCCCCAGCATCCCAGTGCTACCAGTTCAGCGTTGTAGCTGTACGTCAATGTGTCGGAAGGTGCTGGAGAGCTTAGAGATGAAGTGTTATGTGGCTGCAACGCAAAATCAACCTGTGCCTCGATGGAAGGTAGTTAGATTGGTGAGTTGATGCGACAGATGGTGAACCTACAAGACCGATGACTCAACAGCACCGCAATGACACCAAGCCAACACCATACAACTCATTCAATTATTTGGCCTAGTCTAAAAATTGTAGCTTTTGTGTTCATATAATGAGGTTGAAATTTTGGGGAGTTATGTGTGCGTGAGAGACTGAGAGTGAGTGTGAAAGACTGTTCTAGAGAGAAATTAGCTCGTGTATTTGTTAGGAGTCATATATTGTTCTGGATCGAAGTGTAGGAGTGCGAATTGTTAAGCAGAACTCACTCTCCACTACTACCTGTAGCAGCAACTGAAAGCTGACAACCTCTCCTCCGGCAGCCGCCTACCTTTTTGCCTTTATGCTTTATGTAACTATCCAGGGTAGTTTAGACATTAGACATCTTACTCATGTGTATTTATATCAACACTAGCTACAGTAAACATATATGGCTTTTATCCAAAACTGAGTCATCTTCTTCCTTTAGCTCCTCTGCGTTTTCGTTCTTGTGCCGGGTCTCCAGCTCTCTTCATGGTATCAGAGCCCATCGCCTAGTGGCTCCTCTACACGTCCAAAATGGGAGACTCTACGCCCGTTTCTGCTGCGTCTACTCCACAACCAGCTCAACACGAGATCTCGAGCAGCACAGACGTTCATATCCCACCCACCCTCAAATTTTTGCTCTCCAATATCAAGAACGTCATCAACATTCAACTCCTTCCAGATAACTACCCAACTTGGCGCTCCGCTATCCAAAAGTTATACGCAGCCAATAGTTTTTCCGGTTACTTGGACGGAACACAGCCGTGCCCTCCTAAACATCTGCTCACTGCTGCCGGCCAACTTACCCTCAATCCCAAATTTTCTTCCTGGTCTTTGATAGATCAAAATCTATCCGTCGCTCTATTCTCTACGATCCCTACTTATATTCTTCCCTACGTGTTGAACCTCGACACTACCGCTTCCATCTGGAAGACTCTCGAGCAGCGTTTTTACTCTACAAAATGGATCAAGAGTGATTCAGTTGAAAAATGAATTTCACTCTTTGTCTATGCAAAACAAAACAATGACCGAATATCTTGCTTCCGTCAAAACGCTTGTTGATAACATTAATGTCGCCGGCGGATCTGTCGACAGTGAAGACGTGCTACACTACATTTTGAATGGATTGCCTTCTACCTACCAATCTTTCAAAACTTATATACGATCTTCTCTTCACCCTATCAGTTTAGACAACCTATACTCACTACTACGCAGTGAAGAAGTACAGCAAACCACTGATGCCGTCAAGGAACTGTCGCTGGCGGCCGCCCCCTCCACTGATCCAACAATTGCTCTATTTTCGAACAGAGGTAGAGGACATGGACGATTCAATAACTCCAGAACTCGCGGCCGTGGCTCTAGTTCCAATCGTCCTCCTCGCACACCCCGTTTTGATGGACATTGCCAGATTTGCGGCAAACCGGGACATTCTGCCGTGACTTGTTGGCACAGAGGCAATTTTCAGTACTCTTCTCCCAGCTCTTCATCAGATGTTACTTTACTTGCCAACAGCTCAACTTCTGATACGGTACCTTGGTATTTAGATAGCGGTGCAACCGCTCACTTATCTCCAGATCCGCTTCCCCTGTAGCAACCTATTACTGGTAAAGAACAAGTGCTGGTAGGTAATGGTACACCTCTACCCATCCAACATTTTGGTAATGGCCTCCTACCCACTCCATTTCGTAAGCTTTCCCTTTCTTCCTTACTTCACGTTCCTCATCTTACTCACCGCCTTATATGAATTTCCAGACTTATTAATGACAACAACTGCTCTGTTTTATTTGATAAATCTTGTTTTGTGCTTAAGGATCGGAAGACCAACAAAATGCTTCTCCACGGTCCCTGCCATAACGGTCTCTACCCCATTCCTATCGTTCCAGCACCTACAACTCATCTCGCAGCCACAACCACAACCACCTCATCCGCCGATCAATCTCCAGCTACCGTCTGGCATCGGCGCTTGGGTCATCCACATACCAAAATTCTTCAGACTTTACTTAAACAGCTCTGTCCTGTTTATGTTTTTCCTTCCTCTAAAATTTGTAATTCCTATGAGCTATCTAAAAGTCACAGGCTTCCCTTCTCCCCCTCCAACCATGTATCTAGCTTTCCTTTACAATTACTGCATTTAGATGTTTGGGGTCCTTCCCCGGTACTTTCATATGACGGTTACCGTTATTATCTCAAAGTACTCCTGGCTGTTCTTAATTAAATTCAAATATGAAATTCCACTTCTATTAATAAAAACCATTAAATTCCTTGAAAAATAATTGAACCATCCCGTTCGTGTCATCCGCTCTGACAATGGTGGCGAATTCATGAACTCCACTCTCCAGATGTTTTTCTCTCAAACCGGCATATCTCACCAGTTAACTTGCCCCCATACTCCTCAACAAAATGGCACTGCCGAACGGAAACACCGTCATCTTATAGATACTTCCCGCACTCTCCTTATTGATGCAAACTTACCTTCACATTTCTAGACAGAAGCAGTTCACACAGCTCTCTACCTCATCAACAGATTACCCTCTTCACATAATCCCAAACAATCACCTTACGAACTCCTCTATCGTCGTTCGCCGAACTACCATCACCTCAAAATATTCGGGTGCCATTGTTACCCATGGCTTCGACCTTACACCCCACATAAGCTATCTCCCCGTTCAATTCCTTGTCTGTTCTTCGGTTATACAACTCAACAAAAAGGCTACAAATGCTATGATCCTAAAACTGGCAAAATTTACATTTCACGTCATGTTACCTTTCACGAATCCTCAACCATCTCTGCTACACCACCACCCCCTTCCATCGCTACTCCAGAACACACACTTGCCTTCCCTCCGCTTAATTCCAAACCTCCCTCTAAATCAAACACGTCCAACCACAATTCAGCCCATTCTTCTGTCTACTCACCCAACACAGAT